ATCCTTGGCTTTTTCTTCCGAGTCTTTGTCTTCAGAATTTTTGTCCTTAGATTTTGAGAAAGTAATCTTCAAATCTGCAAGAATCTTAACTAGCTTTGACTTTTCAAAGTCAAGTTTTTCATTGAATCTAACATGAATTAATTCCTCAACAATTAGTATTTCTGTGTTGTAGATTCTGTAGCCTTTTGAGCGATTAAAATATACAAACAACAAACACTTTTGTGCTTTAGAATCAAACTTGCCAAGATTCTCTTTAGTGTTCAACATAAAACAAATACAGCCAAAAGGATGAAAATAAGAAACATTTGGCTTTTTGTTCTTCCATAATTCATAAGGAGTCTTACCCAGAATATGTCTAATAGAAATCCTGTTATGAATATAACAAGCTATTTTTACTGCCTCTGCCTAGAAATGCTTAGATATGTCAGTTTTTTGGATCATGGTACAAGCCATTTCCTACAAAGTCCTATTCTTTCTTTCTACAACTCCATTTTGTTGTGGAGTTCCAAGACAGGGGAAATCATGGAAAATGCCATAAGAATAAAAAATATTCTCAAAGTATATGTTCTCAAATTCGCCACCAGATCACTTCTGACTGACTATTTTTCAATCCTTCTCTGTTTGCACTTGTGAGCAGACGGTAGAGAATACGAAATGTCTCATCCTTATGTTTCAAGAACTTTATCCATGTCCAATAACTATAGTGATCAATAATGACCAATCCATACTTCTTGCCACTAATGGATGCAGTTTTCATTGGATCAAACAAATCAATATGCAGAAGCTCTAACGGTCTGGAGGTGGAGACAACATTCTTAGATTTGAAATAAGTTTTAGAAAACCTGCCTTTCTGACATGCTTCACAAAGAGCATTTGAAGCAAACTTCAAGTTAGCTGAGAAATCCTCCTCATGCTAACATGACCCAAACGTCTATGCCATACCCATTACGCCCTATTAACAAACATTAAACAAGATACCTTTTGTTCCTTAATATCAACAAGTCTAATGTTATAAATGTTGCTTTTCCTCTTTCCGTTAAAAAGAATTGAACCATCTTTTTTACTCACAGCCTTACAAGACTTTTGATTGAAAATGACATCATAACCATTGTCACTAAGTTAAGTTATAGACAATAAGTTATGCACCATCGACCAGTAGAACATTAGTAATAGAAGGAAGTTTACCATTACCAACAGTTCCAGAGCCAATGATCTTTTCCTTCTGGTTTCCTCCGAAACCTACGAATCCTTCAGGATTAAGTTCCAAATCTTGGAACATATGTCGTCTTCCCGTTATGTGTAGCGAGCAACCACTGCCCAGGTACCATGAATGGTGTTTCAATTGAGCTGCTAAGGATGTCTTCAGAATCAGAGTTAGATTCTAATTCTGATTCTGACAGCTTCTTGTCTTCTGGTTCTTCAGAGACTTTAGCATCAGCTGTAGTTACCATCAAGGCAACATTGGTCTGTTCCTCTTCAGAATATTCTTCCTCAAAATATGAGTCATCCTATGTAGCTATGAACCCCTTCTTTCCTTTGAAGAATTTCTTCTTAGGCTTCCCGTCCTTCTTGAGCATAGGACACTCATTTTTGTAATGACCTAACTCTTTGCACTCATAACAAATAACTTCTTTTCTAGAACCCTGCTTCTTCTATTCAGATGATGAGTCAGAATGACCAACGATCTTCCTTGCTCCTCTGAACTTCCCTTAACCATTCTGCCTATGTTTCCAGAGTCTGTTGACCTTTCTAGAAATTAGTGACAGCTTATCATCATCTTTTGAGTCTTCATTAGAATCTTCTGATTCTTCCTCAACTTGATAAGCCTTTGCCTTTTCAAGTTTGGACTTTAAGGCTACAAATTTACCTCGCTTTTGAGGTTCATCTCCTTCTATCTTTATCTCATGACTTCTTAAAGAACTAACAATTTTTTAAAGACTCATATTATTCAAATCTTTAGATAGCTTCAAGGTAGTTACCATGGGTCTCTATTTCTTGAGGATACTTCTGATAATCTTTTTAACATGGTCAATAGTTGAATATCTTTTGTCCAGAACCTTAAGTCCTACGACCAGCGTCTGAAACCTTGGGAATATAGTCTTAACTATTTCGTCATCTTCCATTCTGAATGCCTTATATTTCTGGATTAAGGCTAAAACCTTTGTCTCATTTACTTGAGTGTTCCCTTCATGAGTCATTCTTAAGGAATCAAAGATGAACTTAGCAGTATCTCTATTTGTTATCTTCTTATACTCGATATAACAAATGACATTTAGCAATATAGTTCTTGCCTTATGATGATTCTTATACTCATTCTTTTGTTGATCATTCATAATACTTCTTGCTACTTTGTTACCTGCAACATCAACTGGGTGAGTGTAGCCATAAACTACAAGATCCCAAAGATCTAGGTCGTAACCTAAAAAGAAGCTTTAGATTCTATCTTTCTAGTAGTCAAACTTATCACCATCAAAGACTAGTGGTTTGCCACTGTAATGATCTTTCTCATTTTTAACAATAGGAGCAACAACAACCATTATTTCTCACACAAACTAGATCGATACTAAATACGGTGAAGCGTTGATAAATCTTTTTATCACAATCAGAACCGGAACTCTGATGCCAATTGAAGGTGTGAAAAACACAAGAAAGGGGGGGGGGGGGGTTGAATTGGGTTTTTAAAACAATTTTTTTTTACCATCTAAAGAAACTCAATAATCAAAAGATTAAACAATGAGAAAGACACAAAGATTTTTATCCTGGTTCGCTTGAAAGTCAAAGCTAATCTAGTCCACCCGCCAATGTGATTTCTCCTTATACGCAAGGACTTAATCCACTATAATCAACTGATTACAGATGCACTACCTACAATTGGCGACTAACAAACCATAAAGACAAACAATCAATGTCTTCTCAAGGATACTGACCTAACTGGTCCCTCAAGAAACTACAAACAAACAGTTTGAATACAAAGATGTGTGTTTACAAAGTGCTTCTTAAACAAACAGATTTACACAAGTGAAATACATAAAATACTTAAAGAAAAGTTTGCACAAGGTTGAAGACTTTTCACGTAGAAAACACTTTTGTTATTCGGCAGCTCTTTTTTCAAGTCTCCAAGTCCCATATATATATATATATATATATATATATATATATATATATATATATATATATATATATATATATATATATATATATATATATATATATATATATATATATATATATATATATATATATATATATATATATATATATATATATCATGAAAATGAACCGTTGGAGGGCAAATCAGGAATAGAAAATGTAGTTGTTCACTAACGAAATAGTGACAGGGGTGACAAATAGTATTGTCCTTTCGCCCACAAAATCAGGTAGTGGAGGAACAATTTCGTTTTGTAATGTGTACTATTTTGATCATGTATCATTTATCCTTATCTTCAAATTCATTGGCTTCTGATGAAAAGTTGATGAAGCATGAATAGAAGAGTCACGTAGCTTGAAATCAGAATCTTTATTAATCAGATTCTTGATAACATCAGCGTCTGACTTGAGATCATCAAAATCTTCAACTAGAAATTTCAGAAGTTTTCCTTTCTTCATAAGTTTGTTGAACAGAGTTACATCTAGAAGCAGAAATCAAGAGAACATTGCAGCAACAACATGACGTCTTCTCGGAAGCTTCTTAGAGGTGAATTAGTGTAAAAGCACATTATGAAACACTATTTTTTTCAGAAAGTGACGACGTTGCACGTCACTTAGTCAGAATCAAAGTTGGCTTTTAAAATTACACAATAACTAACTATTAGAGTACACAAATTGTTCTCACACAAATACTACCTTGTTATCATCAAAACTCAAAGGTATAGGTGTAGAACCAAATCTTGTTTTAACAAATTTTTCATTAAATTTGTTAATATTATTCTTCAAATCATTGAGAAACACAAATTTACATAACTCAAAGGTATATGTGTTTGAACTAACTTGAAAAACGATTCAATAATTTTGTGGCGTGAAAGGTGTTAGATATTTGATTATGATAATCCTGGATAACTTCGAGGAATCGTGTTCGTACACTTTCTGAACAAAGTATTTCGATCCTATTATTGCCTGGGTTCACGAAATCTTTGTGGGGATAATTCTTGAAAAACAATTTGTTTCTAGCAATAGAGAACAGATCAGGAATATAGAGAGAAAATATGGTTTTTTTAAGTCATTTAAACCGAGGCTAAATGACTCCTTATATAGGAGATTAATAACAGAAACCGAAAAGACACAACTGTTCAGAAAACGGTTAAGTTGGGACCCCAGCGGGACCCCAGCCAGGGGCTCTGCCCCTTGGAACCCCAACGGGGCGCTGCCCCGCAACCCGCCAGGGGCTTCGCCCCTCGGAACCCCTTTTCAATTATTCGCATTTAATTATATGTTGGCTCGACGAGCGTGCACTCCGGACTACCCTAACTCGTTTTCAAGCTTAACGCATAATTGGATCGGCCTACAGTAAATCACATTAATAGTAAAATACATTGATGATACTAAAATCACCAACAAAAGGTACAGTGACTTAAGTGTATTTTGTGTTGTTTATGTGAAGAAAAAAATAAAGAAGAAATAATATAGAAGATGAGAGATAGAGAGAGAATAAACTAGGAGAGAAATAAAGACAAAGTTATGGTAACTTTGACTCCTCAAAGTCACCCAAGCCGGATCCAACTAACTCATACATAACAGTATAAGATGTCATGCATGATGTAGGTTATACACAACCTGTCAATAAATCAACGTTGTCACGCTATCGTTGATAATAATCATTCAATTTATATCCGATGATGATGTAAATTTAATCTCAATATTTTAAAATTATAGAATAAATATTAATGTGTATTATTTTGAACCATTGGATCGAAATCGGAAAGTCAACAATATGTCCCAACTAAGTCACTACAGGAAATTATTTACATCAGAAATCCTATTCAATAAAAACATAAATTTCTTTATTAGTTCTCTACAATTGGCAATTGAAATTTCCCAACAAAGTCAGTATTAAGACTACCAAGGTAAAGATGGTCTTCAAACTCAACAGCTGAAGTCACACCAGTAATAATCTTTCCATCATTATCACCAAACTCTTTTATAATATTGCCTTCAGTGTCCACTTTTACTACCATTGCAGACTTAATTGCACTATTAAACAGGTTAATTAGCCTTGGAAATGAAGCTAACAAGTGCTTGAACACCTTAGAGGTGTGCACAAACCCTCTCCTTTCAGAAGTCATCTACAACATCATTTCATATACCTTATTAGTTTCAACTCTTTTAAGCTTATAGAAAAAAATATTTAAAAAACTTTAAAAAATTGGACAATCTATTTAAGAAAATGTTGAAAAGAGAGTGTTGCTAGCATTCTTCGTCTATATGTATATTTACCTGAAGTAAAGCGATCCAGAATGAGCCATCAGGAGCAAGATTAATGTTATCAGGTCCTCCCGAGAGATTCTCAATGAAAATATCCGTTTTTCCTTTGTTATTTCCTTTTAACCAATGCTTTATACACCTAAATCTGATTCATGAAAACAAATCAAACAAAAATAAGATAAATCAAAGTGTAGCAATAGGACACATACGTATAAAGAATTCTATTTACTCACTTCCAAGTTTCACAAACCACAAGATAATCTTCGTCTTTAGACAGTGCAACGCCATTGGGAAAGGCCAAATCGTCGAGAAGAATAGTTGTTTCATTTGATGTAGGATTGTATTTTAGAACTTGTCCATGAGGTCTTGCCTCAAGCACATCCAGAAACCAATTGTGCACCCCGAATTTCGTACTTGGAATACTGAAATAAATATTTCCATCTGATGCTTCTATTACATCATCTGGGAACCTGGATCAGTCATAAAAAAAATCGAAAAGTCGTATGTTACAATAAAAGCAATGCAAAATATGAATTATTAGTCTGAAAACTCATAGTAATAACACTGAAACCATCTTCTTCTGTAACTTTCAGCAAACCCTACAAAATATAGTTATTTGTTATTCATCATTATTCAATCATGCATGGTTTTATCTTGGATCTACAAAATGGATTATATACTTGATTTCTATTATACTTGATTTCCATAGTTGGAATAATGTTGTCTAGTATTTACTATTATACTTGATTTCTATGATAACTTTTTTTATTGAATTTGAATGAGTACTTTCCAAACATGAGTCAATTTTTGTCTTCAATCACGTGGATTTGTATTGGATTCTGCCATTTCAAGACTGTTGTTGGCTCAAGTGGGAGTAAGCCTTTTTTCCAAGTGGGTGTCAATTATTGACAAGTGTGAATGGCTTCAATGACAATACTTTTTGAACTATATTTGACTCTTGTTGCGTGAGCTTTTGTATTGAGGTGAACTTTATTGACAATTACGGTGATAATGTAATTATTTAAATTGGTAAGTCTCTAATTAGTTAATAAGTATAAAAAAAAAAAAAAAAAGTTAGAATGAAGTATGAAAAGTATGTGTGTCTTTTGTATTGCATGTGTCAATGTATATGTATACCTCTAAGTCAAATAACTATTGAGCTCGGGAAATAATAGGTGAGCTTTTTTCATTGGATCTTTGACTGACCAAAAATAGTTGTCTTTCAGACTTGTCGCAAAGTGTCGAGCGAAGAGTCTTTTCAATTTCTTGTCGATCGCAAACTATTGAGCTTACCACGAAGGTCATGAGAGACAAACACATTAAGTGCTCGTCTTGCCATTCATCGCTTCATACTACTCAATACATGTGGCTTCCTGTTATGCAAGCAAGGGAATTCTAGTGCAATCAAGTGTCGTTGCATTTCTAATGCATAAATCTGATTGTTGCTTTTTATTTACCCATCATCCTGCAATTTAGATCGTCGATAGGTTTGACTTACTCTCCTATATAATGATGGTTTGGTTTTCAACAAAACTTTCACTTTTATTACCCTTCTAGGATTCGCTGATGTCTTGTAATCTTATTTCTCTCGCGATCATCGTCGACCTTTTGTCTTCTCATCCTATTGTAGGTTTATGGTTCATATCTTTGAGCCACTTCGTCTTTCGAGTTTTCATCGTTCTTTCTGCATTCTTGAATTTCCCATCTTCTCTCTAGGCCTTATCCATATAATGTACCTTCCCTTTCCTTGCCTTGGCCAACCTAGGGAATGACCTTGCAAATGTGTTGAATTATTCTAGTGGAGGAGGTTCCTCATCGTCGTTTGAGATTGATCACCTGGACCTCTTAGAGATTTTTTTATGGAAAGTCGTTAGAGGTTGATTCTCTTGTTCGTGACATGAATGTGCTTAGTGATAGCCCTAGGTATGGTTTGAATTCTACAAAGGATAGTAATGATATTGACACAATGGAGGTTGTTTCTCGCATTAACTCCCTTGCTTGAGCTTATTCAAATTTGGTCGTTGCTTTGGCTGCACAAGAAAAGTGTCAAATTGGTTTATCCATTAGGTCCCTTGGGACGAAGATCGATAGGGTTTCTACTGCTATAGAGGCTAAGGACTATATTGAACTTTATAACTATTCTGCCAATCATGATAAAAATTTATTTTTCCATCTTAGTAAAAACATTATGGCGCACTAAGAGGAATGGGTGGAAGCGTTGGATATCGCTCAATATCAATGGGTAGATTCAAAATCATGGGAGATAACTTCCAACTTAAAAAATGATGCTAGAATCGAATGCGCCTTTGTGGATGTAGGTTTTTCATCAGACTGATATGTTTCTCCCGTTGGCGTTGACAAAAAAATCTACAACTTGTTTGAGGGATGTTCAATCCTCATCTTTGAGTGTCTTGAAACTCACTTTCACTAAGTTAAGAAATTGGTGCTTGAGCATTTACATATTGTTCCCTCTCAACTGCACCTTATTACTCGGGCTTTTGTTAAGATGTTATAGTATTGGTATGAGTATAAGGACCAGGGTTCCGCTTTACTAAACCTCTTTTTCCATATTTTTGTTGTCTCGTGTACTATGATGAAAAGGAGACGCAACCGGGAATTGATTTCTTTTTGCTAGACCAATAAAATCTTCAATGTCTATACCCGGAAATACTTCAAGGATCATTACTACCTGGTGACTCTTCTTACCATGACTGCTTATTCCAAGTTGCGTTAGGTTTCAGGTCATAATAATGTTCCTGAATTAATTTATTTTTTCATGTCATTTGTTTTTTGACCCTTTTTTATTAACCTTTTTTTATTACATGCATTTGACTTTTTGGATTATCACTGAACCATATGCAGACAAACTTACTTTTGGTAGTACTTTTTCAACAAAAAAAACAATTAGGAGTTGACAACATCACTTGATCATGAAAACAATTTAACTTCAACAAGTATAGGGTACTGACATTGACCATCTCTGCATTCCACCCCTTACAAAATACACTAGTAAAAATACTTTAAATTCGTATTTGAATTTTTATATTTTTTCTTTTACTCTTGTGTTAGAATATTGTGAGATAAGTTATATATTTGTTTGGAAGAATGTGAGTGTACTGGGAGCATAAGGGTAGTTGAGGAGTAGATTATGTATTATAACAGTTTTCACGTAATGTTATTTTCTAGTTGTCATTTTACAACGACCATGCATTTTCCTCATTTTTTGGAGTTTTCATATTATGGCATTGTGTTTTAATTGTGCTCTTTCTTTTCTTATGTCAGTTTTCCCCCAAAACTTGAATTAGAATTTTTGGTTTGATTTGGAGAGAGAATTTCTTAGTATGCTCTTTGTTCCCGCTAGTTCGGATTGGTGGGATAACAGGAGTTCAACTAAAAAATAAATTGTAGAAGCTAATGTTAATAAAGGGTATCCTGAGCAATTTTAATAATAAGGTTCATTGATATTCCTAGTATATTACATGTTATCGCACATATAATCAATACTGAATTCAATGAAATTGTTTGATCTTACAAGAGACCTTCTATAAATTCACACTTGAGGAGGTATTTCTTGGTTTCATCTCGTCATTAGTAACTTAATTATTTTTAGATAATAATAGATATTAGGCATGACAATAGGACGGGGATGTTTACAGTGAAATTTAGTAAACAAATACAAATTTCTATTAATACTTAAGGAATCAAACTCAAAAATTTCCAGGATATATTGTGTGCATTTTACTTGTAAAAAACCATAATACTGTCGAAGTTAGAACGAACTTCTTAAAAAAAATTGTTGTGATCAATTGTAATTAGAAAAGTTCTAGAGTAAAAGACTAGATGTAAAACGATAAGTAAAGTAAAGAAGAGACTTTGAAATCGAAGAAAATTACAAGTGCAAAAAAAGAAAGAAAAAGGTGAAATTGAAGTGCATGTAATGTAAACTGACAAGAAAAGTAAAGGAAATCGAAAGGGACTTTAATGCATAAGAATACTTTTAGGATAAAAATGCTGGAAAAGCATAAAATGGTGGAACACACGTGTACATCTTTCCCTCACTCGTTTCTCAAGACGCATGTACTTTGAGTTTACAGAAATGTGTGTACAATTGCGGACCCTTTACAAAATGGACCTAAGTCTCCTTATATACTACTATAAAATAATTGTCTAATAGTGATAGACTACTCCTATGATAACACGTCCCAAATTCATGCAGTAGTTTCCCTCGACGTGCTCCCACGTTTTTTTGAATAACTGTCGATGCTGATGCAGTTCCTGCCTCGTGATACCATTTGAATTTCTTAACTTCTTTGCTAGGTGCCAAGAATTGATTATCCTCGTCGAGCTCTTCAACATCAACCATGTTAAGGTAACATGCTCTATATTATTGTCCATTGTAGTGATGAACTCTACATGAACATTGTTTCCATTATAGTGATGAATTCACATGTGGTGACTGAGTCGGCATTGCTTCCCTTGTAGTGATGAACCTCAACTTTAGCCAACATAGCATTGTATTCAATTTCATTAAGTCCCTAAGTTCACCACGCCCTTCGACCTTGCCACCTTTGACTGACATCACTACATGTGACTTCCGACCTTGAGCCGTATTGGTTCTCGTATAGACTCACTCTATTTTGCCCTTCCATGTGGCATACTTGAGGCTAATCTCATAATAATTTTCCATTTATAGTTAAGTCGAAAGATCCAGTGTAACAGGGGCGCAAATGGTTTTAAGAATTATCAGTCTCGTCCTTACCTCCAGGTATCAGCCCCGCCCCCACTTGGAGAACAAATGATCACTCACTTCCGCCCCCAACAGAGAACAGGCTTCCCCGCTCCTCCCTGCATCCACTCATAATATTTTTAAATGCATTTTTTTTAACATAGAAAAAAACCAATAATTAAATTTTAATTATGTTAATAATAATGATAATACTTGGTCTTTTTTTAATCTCTATATTTCTAAAAAATAAATAATAATTATAATAAGTTTGTTATCTAAAGATTAAGGAAAATAAACTTAATGTAAAATATTAAAATTAAAGATAATAAAATAAATTTAATAAGCCAAAACGGAGCACGGTGGATGTGAGGCTAGTATTAGCGTTCCCGCTCCTACCTCGTAATTAAAAACTGAGTTAAATCAGTTTTTCCTTGTTAGATTTAAAGAATAAAGATAGATTTTTTTTTGTCATGCCTAATAGATAGAAATATCGCTCGTAAGAAAAATCAAGAAATATATGTCTCCTTGGCATCCATACTAAAATAAATAAATTTTTTTGAAAAAACAGCTGGCGGAAGAAAACCTCCTAAGGTTAAGAGAC